CACTGGATATTTGTTTTGTGTGCTATGAAAATGTAATTTTCAATTTCCAACCTGCAAAATAAGTAAATTCACAACTTCAATATGAAATTACTTTTAGAAAAATAAAAACTTAAATTTATACAGCAAACGAATGAAAATTACCTCAAAACGTCCTAGTTATGTGTCCGAACTCACACACACACGAACATACGTACATTTGTTATTGCACTTATTTAACTCTTAGAAGCAACAGCAGCAACAAAAAATAGACCAACTTACCAAACGACCAGCAAACTACATCCACAAAATTACTGGCCCCACTTTTTTTGGTCTTATAAGGCGTATCCCTTTCCCAAAAGTTTACAATTGCAAAATGTAGTCATTGGGGTACACAAAGAAGGGGAGTTGCAATAGTGGGGGGATTTGTTGTGAGGCCCAGCACAGCATAGATTCATTCGAAGAGAAAGAAGCATGAAAACGACCACCTAATTTGGCGAAAATTTTGCACATTTCCGTTTCCTCAACTGGTGCCTTTCAGGGCATACTCACTCCACATCTTTGACTCGTACAATTGTTTGAAATGCAAAGACAAACCTTAATATTTCTGTATTTGTTTTCTTTCAAAATGCTAGAAAGAAACTTGTGTACATTGACTTGCATGGGGCATTTCATGGGGGATTCTAATTTGATAGATTTGTGTGTATTAGAAACGTATGGAAACTTGGCCAATAATGATAATGTAAAACCTGACAGAAGATAACTAAAAATTATACCTACTATATGAAATATTAATTTTAAAACTATTTTGACTATAAATGCATTCTTAAAGCCATAAAAAACATCCTAAACCCATTCTCAAAAATTCGTTAAAAATCCCGGCTAATAGTCTTACTTACTTAGCTGGCTTGTGACAGAAATTTCGTTCCATAAGCCGAGCGTAAAAAAGATTTTCAGGCGCGTCGGTCTGTTGCGCAGTTTTTCCAATTTGAAAGACGTTGTCTTCCGCTTAATCTTTACATCTAATTCGTGGCCCTTCCTTCTGCCAGCTAATGGTTCGCAATTATATGCCTTTTGAGCTGGGGCATTTTCATTCAATTTCACAACCTGACCTAGCCAACGTAGTCTATGCAGCTCGAAACGTCTGACAATGCCGATGTCCGAGAATAGCTGGTACAACTCATGGTTCATTCGATGGCGATATTCACCGTCAACGCAGACCGGTCCATAGATCTTTCGGAGAATTTGTCTCTCAAACACTCCAAGAGCTCTCTCGTCTGCTTGCTTCAGACCCATATAAAAATTTCACGGGTAGTCTCAGCGTCTTGTAGAGTGTAAGCCTTGTTTGTTGCTTAGGTAGACCATAGTAACATCTTTTGGCCAACACTATTATTCTCCGAATTTCAAAAGCTAAAAGTCGTTCAACCTAAAAATCCCTCCAAACGAATCCTTTAAATACTACATTATAATATTATCGCTACAGTCCTTTAAAAATAATATAAAAATATTTACACCTTAAAGTCATTCTAAAAAATTATTTTATAAAACTACACCCAAAAGCCATGACTATAGTTTCGGATTTATCCGATGATCCACAGAAGTTCTCTTAGTTTTTTGTTACAAAGTTTCATAAAAATTCACACCTTCAAAAATATTTTCTAACAAGTTCATGTTTTATGAATACTCCATTCTGGAGAAGAATCAGCTATTGACATACCCACTTTTCACAACGTTCTCAACATTCTGTCCTTTTAAAGTGACATTAATACTCAATGCAACTCCTTTGGGAATGACTCGGATAATTTCCGAAAGACAAAACAACAGCAGCAACAAATAATTTGAAATCATTGACGACGCCAAATGTTGTCGTAAATCTATTCTCATACGACGTGGAATGACTGGCTAATGTGCACTTCCATATTCCCTGAAATGAGTAAGAAAATTGTATGCAGACCACAATAAAGAAAATGAAAAATAAGTTTTTCTTCCAAATGTGTTGTGAATGAATTGTTGTGTGTGTGTGAATGAGTGTGTATGTTTGATTGTGTGTGGCATGTGAGAGCGCAGCAATCACACCACTAGCACCACACCACTACTGCCCATTCGTATGGATACACACAAACACTTGGACATATCAAATGGAATATTTGCAATGAAATAAAGAAAAACAAGAATACGGAAAAAACGAAGCATACTTTTTGGGTGCATTCTGGCATTGTTTTGGCATTCTACGGGCAAGACAACAAGGTGCAGCTTTCGTATTCTGGCCTTAAAAGTTGACAAGCCTAATTTATCAAAACAGAAAATAAACAATAACAACAGTAGCAGCAGTTGTGGTGGTAGTAGTGATGGCAAAAACAGAAGCAGGACCTGAAATTGCATGTGAATATCTTTGTGTGGCATCAGGAGCAGCAACAACAACAATAGATAGACATTTATATTTACACAATGGCTTCTGAAAATTTCATTTTCATTGCAATTGTGGTCACGACGGACGTTCTGGGTGTGTTTGTTTAGCTTGTGATTCTTCTTCATCATCAAATTGGTGTCTGTGCCCGTGTGTTTGTGTGTGTGAGTGCTAACTGCCCTTTATGTTCATTCACAATTGCCACCATGTTCTATCATGCATACTCCGTTTGCTTCTTGTGACGTTACTTCTTTGTAGATTTATAAATTTTTAGTACAAACTTACCTCCGCCACTCCTCGGCCACTCACCCACCTTACGATGTTCGACAAACTAACGTGTCTGAAATTCATACTCGCCCATCGACTTGCTGTAGTTGTAGCATTTAAGAGTAATGTTGTAAATGTTATGTACTAACAAGCATTTATTTTTTAAAGCATGCTTTAGGGGATCTTATGAGTGAGTGAGTGCGTGAGTGTATGTGTGCGTGTGTGCGGGTTTCTTTCTATTGGCGAGTGGGAGAATGGGTGTCAAATTTAGGTGTTGTTACAAAAGTGCATGTTGTTCAAGCATCTGCAAATTTAATAAATTGTTGTTAAACAAACACCAGCACCCCGTAACAAATACCCTCTCTAGAGGAACATCAACAGAGCGAAGAGGTGCCCCCAAAACACTGGTCAGACTGCAACCCTAAATGCAACAATGAAAAAGTAAAGAATAATGGAAACGACTGTGACCAGTGTTCGGGCACAAGAACAATAGTGAATCATATAATTTATTTATGCAATTATTTTATTAGATTGTTGCATACTTCAAGGCTAACACCAATGAAATGTGTGCTTTTAGCGTTCCTTCTTCTCCCACAACTGGTTGTTGCAGCCAAGGCGACTGACTATTGTGTGGTATTTAGTTGTTGTTGTTGCTGTTTTTGGTCAAAAAGTTTCAAATGCTAGATAATTTTTTATGTTTATACAATAACACTAAATATGAGGTAGTCGAAGAAAAAACACAAAATGAAACCAAACAAAAGAACATTAGGCTAGGTCAGGTCATAATACAAATAATATATTTGAAGGGAGATATAAAGTGTAATAATTTTAAGGTTTATACAGCGGGAAACTATCGGCGATAACTGCAATGAAAAGGATATTTAAAAAGAAAAATGTTTCAATTGTATAAATACATTAAATTAACTGTGTACATTAGGGTTATGACTTTTTGACTTTTTTCAAAAACAAAAAAAAAAAAAAAAAACTCGATTACATTCCTTTTAAGGAATGCTGACATTTTTTGTGATTTTCACAATTTACATTTTCGTGGGATACAAACAGTTATATAATTTTTGTGATTCTAAAGCTTGTGATTAATTATATATTTGCTAAAAGTGACTAAAACTTTTTTTTTTCAAAAAATTTGGCGTTAGTTTTTTTATACCCTTCACCACACTGTGGTACAGTGTATTTGTGCATATGTTTGTAACAGGCAAAAGGAAACCTGATGGTCCCATGGTTCTTTTTGAGAAAATGCATATCATCTCTTTCTTAGTCGATTTATGCATGTCCGTCCGTCTATCCGTCTGTTAATGTTAAATTGTAAACAATGTACAGGTCGCATTTATGATCCAATTTGGATGAAATTTGTTACAGCTCATTTATTTAGACTTTCATATTTATTTTCTTGCGATTTTAAGTAAATAGTGCACTAAAGGTCTTATATTACTTTCGATGTGCACGAACTGACGGATTTGAGTATCTAATGATGTGTGCTAAATTTCTTAAAAATAGGTTGAGATTTAGATATAGCTCTCATTTATATTTTTGTCCAATTTTAGGTAAATTGTGCACAAAAGTCCCTATATATTTGTTCGATTTGCACGCTTTGTGTACTGAATTGAGTCTAAAATTATGTGTGCTTAGTTTCGTAAAAATCTGTTCAGATTTAGATATAACTCCTAACTCATGTGTATTTTCGTCAAATTTTAGGTAAACTGTGTAAATTGTGAATGGTGCACCAAACTCCTGTTTATCCGATTGGCACGAAATTTTGCAAAACTTTTCATATTGAGATCTGCATTGGTGCAGATGCAGATATAGCTTCCATACATAATTTCGACCGAATTCATAATAGATTGAGATTAAATTTTTATTAGTGCAGCATACCGAATACCGTGTGTCAAGTTTGCTTTGCACGCAAACGACTCTAAAGCTGCCCGAATGAACTGAAATTTAGCATAGGTTGCAGAATGGCAAGTGTATGGGTTCATGCCAATCCTTTCACATAGAGATAAAAATATTAAAGTTCATTCAATTTCATGTCAATGTTTCTTCGAAATGGAATCAGTTAAATATACTCAAAGTGATGAAGGGTATCATATGTTACTATGTCAATCATTGGTTACCACTACAACTGGATTCAGCTCATACGAATATTTGTACATTATGGAACAACATTATTTTGTGATTCCAGATTTTTTAGAATTATTGACTAAAAAAGAATTATTGACGTATGACTCATATTCCAAGGAACTTTTTAAATCCAACTTCCTAAGTTAATTCCTGAAAACATATATATTAATCGCGCGCCTAATTTTAACGTTTTACTTTTTGTTTTCATTTACAGCATGTCATTTGGCTGGTACCGTGCCGAAGTAATTGGAGCCTTAGCATCGGTTGTCATGATTTGGTTCATTACAGCAATTTTGGTGTGGCTAGCCATTCAACGTGTCATCAACCAAGATTTTGAACTGAACGCTCCTGTCATGTTAATCACATCTGGTCTAGCCATTTTGGTTAATTTAATGTAAGTACAAATAAAAAGATTCGCATCGGATTCGATGTTAGTCACTTTTTAAAGTGGTATTTATATATATTTATACGTTTGAGTACCTGCTACAAATGCCATCAAATTATATTTACAAGTTTTTGTTTCCTACTTCCTTCCTTCCTGTCTGCTTGCTAGCCTGCCTGACCGCCCGCCTGTAGCCCTTCGGTGATGTAAACACAGAATTATTTGTGTTTCTCGTTTAGTGCCTGATTCCCCTTGTTTTCTTTGCAGAGGGACCGGACAGCACCAAACTTGTTGTTAGGTATTTCATTCAGGTATACTGTTGGCCAAGAGATTTGTGTCAACAAGCTTAAGATTTCAACATTTCAGCTCGGGCTGCAAGTGCTGCTTGTGCCGTATTTACACTTTAGTTGATAATTTTTGCAGCAGAGTTTTTTTTTTGGCTTAGTACTTCTTTCTTTTTTGGCTTTGCTGATGTTGGCAGTTTTTTTCTTGGCTCTAGAGAGGACTTCAGTTTTGAGTTCCGCTGAGATTTGCCGTCTGGATTTGTCGCCGAGTTAAGTTCAGTTGGTGTGTATTTGAAAAGTATTTGCCACTTGGAATTGTTTGATAAACGTGTTTGGCATGTTGGCACATTCAGTTGGCTAATTGAAACGAATTGTGAAGTAAAAAGGGGTAGTTGATCAACGAACATGTACATGCAGTGGAATAACACTTGCAAACTGAAATTAATTCTACGTTTTTTTATGTTATACTCAAATAAATGGCAAATTAGTAAGTTGAAAGGTTGAACAACAGCATCATCCTCCCCTCTTCATAGCTGCAATGGGATTTGACTGGTATTTCTTAAATGGCAGCTTAAAAATCTTAATTCCTTACATAGAGTCACATAAGATACACATTTTTACGGAAATTATTTTCATCAAAGTTTACGTCGTGGGATATTAAATTATGGGAAAGCGGTGGATTTTTTTTTTAAATTTCACTAGAATATTTCAATTAAATTTATAAGCACGTTTTTACATTATTTTGTAATGAAAGAGAAGTAGCTGAGAAATATATTTGTGTTAATTATATTTTTTTTGTAATATTCCCTAAAATTTGGAGAAAAAAATGTAGATATTCCCTGAAATTCCTGGAAAAAATATTGCTCCGAAAATTTTATGTTCCTACTAGGAGCAAATAAAAAAATGTATTTTGAGAGACCAGGAATATAAGATATGTAGGCTAGGAATTAAAAAAATCTATTATCGCAGCACCCCTCCTATTCATAGCATCCTCGTTTATCCTCATGTTCTCCACCTTCATTCGGAAGCAATGTCTAATAGCGGAGCATAGCAAAGCTGAGATTACATAGTGTCATCTAAATCACAGCAACCCCAACGCTAACGAGTGTCAGCTTTGTTGGCTGGCGAAATTTTGCGTTGACTCTTGTTTTTTTTTCGCCGTTCCTAAACGTTAAGTTTTCACGCTTTACTTCTTGTCTTTCTTTTTTCCATTTGTTTTAGTGTGTGTGCTGTTGGCACATTCCATAACAGATTCAGCGCTAGTAAACAGTGGAATTTTGTTACACGACACCGGCAACAACGACAATACCATTTGTCGTTTTGAAAAATACTGCTATTGCTGCTGCCGCTCGTCTACATTTACAATATTTGAACCCTATACGATAACACAGTTCATGTGTGTATGTGGCAGCATACGGAAATATGCGAAGGGAAAATAAAACTGTTTTTTGTGTTGGTGTGTGTGTGTGTGTAAAAGTCGCGTCTTTACAGAAATCCTGTTAAAATACATTTTCAACACACTCTAATTGCTTTTGTCGTTTGTAATGCAGTCGCTACTCTTATTTCGGAGCGTATGTTTTTATAAAAAAAAACATATTTATGACTATATATTTATTAGGGTGTTTCGAGGTCTTCTTTGATTTGTTTTCTTTACAACTGTCAAAATAATGAGCTAATTCCAAATTTTAATTTTCAACATTTTATATAACAATAATCAGCCGACACCAGTCCTCTATTTTCTATTAAAAATATACGAAACACCTTCAAATGTATTTCATCTTCAACCCTAATGTACGAACTTTGTTGTACACAGCAAAATCCTGGTTTAGTAAATCCTCATGTGTACTCTTACATGTGAGTTTTTCCGCCTGACTTTTTTATACCACGGATTGCTGCACGGCTTGGCTTGGCGTTCTATCATCATCGTCGTAATCATCAACAACGTCATCCATGGTCTGCCGGTCATCATGAGCGTTTTAGTTGTTGTATTGCTTGCCTTTTTTTTGAAGTTATTTTTGTTAGTTTTTTTATTTTTTCTACATCTTCTTGATGCTGTTGGATTCATTTTTATTTAATAGTTGCAAGTGTGTGGATGCGTGTGTTTTGTATGTATGTACGTTTTTTGTTTGTTTATAAATTTTTAGTATTTGTATAACTCTTGTGTTTACTTTGTTTAGTGTGATGGGCTTTGCTTGTGTTGCCTCTGACGGCCCATAGAATGAAATGGCTGCTTCTCATATATATATATATGTATGTGCACGTATATGTTTTGGATAGATTTTTATGAATATGCATTCATTCATGTGTTCGCTTCACACACACAATTTAAAGAGCGTTTCAAAAACACAAGTTTTGTTTATAACAATTGCCAGGTCGCAGGTGTTGTTGTGTTTGTTGTTCCTTTGCAAAAGAGTAAGAAATTAAACGAAGCATAAATTTAGGCGTATGCTTAAAGGAGTAGACCATATATGGGAGAATTTATTTGCCTGTGCGAATGTGTGTATATGTATGTGTTTAAAGGTACGTTTATTATTTAAATTACAATGCGTACGTTTGTATGTGTTTGTGTATTTGTGCTCGAGGAGTTTGTGTTATGTGTTTTTATAGACTCGTACCTAGAAAATCAGAAAGCTACTCTAAAGTAGGCTATTCGAACTGTGGTTTAGACATACAAAAAATCAGTATGTCGATGGAGTTGTAAAAAAAATAAAAAATGAAGGGAAATTAATTGTCATTCCATATATTTTCTTTGTCTTTGAAGGTAGTAACCGAATTGTAGCTTAGAATATTTCTTCAAAATTTAAATCAAGTTCAGTTGGTAATCTTTTTACCAAACCTGCATTAAATTCGATGGTGGGATCTTTCGGTCTGTAAAATTCCCAACAAAGGCTCAACATTTTGGAAATTTGTAAATCTCAAATGAAGTATGCGATTTGATTCATTATCGTACGATGTAATATTTTTAGCTACATAAAATTAGAATATTAGGTCTAATGGCTCCTCAATATTTTATTTGATCAAATTTAGTGCAAATATCGTTAGAAAGATATCGTTCTCTCAGCTTTTTGGAAACGGTTCGAATTAGTTCGTATTACTAAGTACAATTTACCGAAAAATTAGATACTAGCTTCAGCCAAAACACGGTGGTGTACTAAATTATTACCACGTACGTAAATAGGTATATATGTATGTACATTTCAAAGGATCACACACACTAGTCGTATTCTTCAAACAGACACACACACCGGTGTTTGGTAATGTTTCGCTAACAAAAATAAATACAAATAATAACAACAAACACTTGTTCACACATCAAGAGATTCAATCGACTTCTTTTTGGCTTTGCCTTTCGCACTTGGTCTCTCTCTGTGTGTGTGATTTGTGTGTTATTGGTCGGAATGTGTTTATGGGCCTTTTTGAGAAAAAGTAAAAAACCTAAACTTTATATGGAGCAGAAACTACAAAGCCTGAAAAAATAAACCACAAAAATAAAGAAAAAAAACACACACACACACTGAAAACAAGAACAATGCAATTATTTATGGTTGTTAAGAAAAAGGATTTTTCTGCTGCCGTTGTTTTTGTTGCTCCTGCCTACAAACATATGAGGATGCATGTTTTATTTTTGTTGGGCTTATAAACTAGGTGTGTATGGAATTGTGCGTTGACTACTTTTTGTTGGATATTTGGCTTTGACTCTATTGTTGAACCATTGTTGTTGGCACTGTTTTGGATGGTTGGTTTGGTTGGTCTGTGTTAGCCATTGTTGTTGAGTCGAAACAATGTTGAAACAAAGAACAAACAGTATTTATTTTTGCTATTGTGTTTTCTTTAAAATAAATGGATTTTGAATTTGTAGCATATTTGTAGACTTAATGCAAATGAGTTATGGTTTTAGGATTATGTGCAGATGGACAATTATTTTGTGGGTTAATTGTGCAAAGGTGGCATATTTCATTGCACATGCTTTTTTGCCAAGCGTGCTGTGCAATTTGGCTGGTTATTGGACATGAACAAATCCCTGACACCTTTAGCTATCCTTGAGTTTGCTTGTTTTGTTTTGATTTCTTCTTGTATTCATTTTCCGGGTCCACACACATTAAGAAACCATGAAATGAATATGAAAACACACATGTATGCATGTATGTGTGTGTGACGAAGAAGAAAAACAAAAACCATAAATGTCATACATACATACGTGCCATGGCATGCATCGAACATTGTTGCCAATTTGTCATTAACGTTTGGCTTGTTATACGCTTCACGCTTGTCACATTTGTCACGTTACGTGAGTCGTTATATTGTCACAAAATGTAAACGTTTGTTCCGCCGTCCAATCGCTACGTATTCTTTATTTCTTCCTAGAATCTGGCCGAAACAAAAAATAACAGCCACGTGAATGTGTTCGTTTCACGACCACAATGACTAGAAACTTGGAAAGCCATAAATGGCGGGACTTCAATTACTGTTTATTCTGCAAACGAGCACGAAAATAATAAAAAAAAAACTAAGGCAAATCATTCCTGGACAAGTATAAACACAGATGTCGTCGCGAACACATTAGCATGTCACACGAAAGTTGAGTATGTAAAATTGATATTTTTGATTTGTAGGTGTTAGATTGTAGTTTTTTGTCACCGTGATATGCCAGTGGAAATTTGGTATACCCCTTCATGTAAAGGACTCCAGCTTTTTATAAAAACGACAATATATTAATTTAAAAATTGG